AAGGCGAATTTTATACAATTGATTCACTGACATTCTAATATATTATATAATACTATTAAGAAAATATAAGAAAATGATAGAATATCAATGTGAATATTTTTATAATTTACKTAAAATTAGAAAAATGTTTAATCTAACTGTCCAAATTTAACAAAAAATAATATTCATCTAAAATCTATTCGAAGAAAAGAAACCAAAACCAAAATCAAATCATACAATATTATTCACTAGGGATTGCCAAAGCTATGCTTGGTTTTAAAATTCAAAATGGGTATAATATGCAATAATTTGTACCTTATTGATTTATTTGTGTATTAGATATTAATAAAATTTAGTGTTTAGCCTAAACACTTATAACAAATTTCTAATGGATTAATAAATTTTTGGATATATAGAATTTCTAATTTATAAAGAAAGAGACCGCTTACTTATAAAAATTGAATATGAACCGATGTGAGTTGTATATATTATGTGAGTTGATCACTAAACACATTGTATTTTTGATATAGCCATAAAAAAAAAATCACGCATCTTGGGTTTAGAAAAATCTAACTATTTTATATGCGTTCATGTTTTCTCTAATCATATTAAAACTATGAATTTAGTATCATATTAGAAATTCATATTAAAATCTATTTATAAAATACAAGAATCATAAAATTATATTATTACTATAAAATAAAATTTATTAATATGTAATTTTCAGTTCTATTTTAATAATATATTTTTTTTATGTAGTTATTGGTAAAAATTTAATTTTTTTCTTTGTTGGAGAGATTTAATACTTTTTAATAGTGATGTTTAATTTTTCATAAATTACAACTTATCATTATTTGGTCGGGTTTTAATCATGGAGAAAATTGATTTCAGGTCAATTTGGTCTTTTAATTTTCATCTAAACTTTGTGTTTTTAAGGCTAATTTTTTTTATATGCCGTTTTTCAATATATCGTTTTATACTTACTGAAAAATCAATTGAACGCGATATTTTTAGTTACACAATTACGACTAAGTCATATATTTATAATCAAATAAATTTTATCTTTTAACTGTACCGTTATTTTTATTCTTTGAATTTGTTTGAAGAGAAAATATTTTTTTTATTGCTTAGTCAAGATAAATGTAGTAGTTAAAAATACAACATTGATAATATAATAGTTTTATTGAATGATCTAAAATAAATAAAGATGGGAAAATAGTTTTGAATGATGAAAGAAACAAAAGCAAATATCAATTGGATGTATATACTCAATTTGCTATATGTTTTTCTATTTGTCTTAAAATTATTAAAAAAAAAAAATTAATTAGTGTAACTTATTAAATTAAAGGAGAATGACACATGTCAAAATGTTATGAGACACATGGCAACTTCTCATAGCTTAGGTGTAGAAATTTTTTACAATATTATATAACAAGATAAATGTATTAGTTAAGAATACCACAATGATAATATAATAGTTTTATTGAACCAGTTAAAATAAAGAAAGATGGAAAAATATTTTTGAAAGATGAAATAAACAAAAGCAAATATCAATTGGGTGTATATACTCAATTTGCTATATGTTTTTTTATTTGTCTTAAAATTATTAAAAAAAATAAAATTAATTAGTGTAACTTATTAAATTAAAAGAGAATGACACATGTTAAAAAGTTATGAGACACGTGGCAGCTTCTCATAGTTTAGGTTTAGAAAAACTTTACAATATTATATAATTTCACAATTAAGACTAAGTCATATATTTTAAATCAAATGGATTTTATCTTTCAACTGTCGTTATTTTTATGCTTTGAATTTTGTTTTGAGAAAATATGTTTTTATTGTTTAGTTAAGATAAATATCTATATATAAATTATGAAAATTTTTAAAAAAATCATTTTATCATTTTTGTTGGAAACATATATCACAAGTCAACAAAATGTAATTATGGATGTTTAAAGAATTTCCCAATAATATTTTATATTAGTTAAAAATACAACATTGATAATATAATAGTTTTTTGAACCAGTTAAAATAAATAAAGAAGGGAAAATATTTTTGAAAGATGAAAAAAAAAAAGCAAATATCAATTGAATGTATATACTCAATTTGCTATATGTTTTTTTATTTGTCTTAAAATTATTAAAACAAAATAAATTTAATTAGTGTAACTTATTGTAAGGTTTAGAAAAATCTTACAATATTATATAAGATTACACAATTAAGACTAAATCATATATTTAAAATCAAATAAATTTTATATTTTAACTGTGCCGTTATTTTTATTCTTTGAATTTTGTTTTAAGAGAAAATATGTTTTCATTGTTTACTCAAGATAAATATCTATATATAAATTATGAAAATTTCTCAAAAAATCAGTTTATCATTTTTGGTAGAAACATATATCACAAGTCAACAATGTAACTATGGATGTTTAAAGACATTTTCAATAATATTTTATATTAGTTAAAAATACAACATTGACAATATAATAGTTTTGTTGAACCAGTGAAAATAAATAAAGATCTCAAAATATTTTTGAAAGATGAAAAAAACGAAAGCAAATATCAATTGGATGTATATACTTAATTTGCTATATGTGTTTTTAAAATCAAATAAATTTTATATTTTAACTATGCCGTTATTTTTATTCTTTGAATTTTGTTTGAAGATAAAATATGTTTTCATTGTCTAGTCAAGATAAATATCTATATATAAATTATGAAAATTTCTCCAAAAATCAGTTTATCATTTTTGTTAGAAACATATATCACAAGTCAACAAAATGTAACTATGGATGTTTAAAGACATTTTCAATAATATTTTATATTAGTTAAAAATACAACATTGACAATATAATAGTTTTGTTGAACGAGTTAAAATAAATAAAGATGTGAAAATATATTTGAAAGATGAAAAAAAACAAAAGCAAATATCAATTGGATGTATATAATCAATTTGTTATATGTGTTTTTATTTGTCT